CTACTACTACTACTACTACTACAACGACGACGACTACTACTACTACTACGACGACGACTACTACTACTACTACGATTACTACTACTACTACTACTACTGCTGGTACTAGTATTAGTACTAGTACCAGTACTAGCATGAGTACCCATGTTGTTGTATCATAAAGTACGCATATTCCTTGGAAAAACGATAAGAAGAAAAAACGATAACGTGAGTTCAGGGATCAGTATTTTAATACGGGGTTATTATAGAACCCCAGATGGCGTTCGATTCTTATTCAAGGACCCATTGACCATGTCACGGCCCAGATCTTGTTCAAGAGGCACCAGAATTCGCTGAGGGTTGCGGTCCAGAACAAGGTGCCGGGCTATTTGCTTACAGGCAAGGGCATTGGATTCGCCTCGACCGATGTGGGCACCAAAGCCTTGATGGACCATTTCGACGAGATGCGGTCTGCCAGTGCCGAACGCGAGCTGATCACCTCGGATGTGTCGGGGATGGATTTTTCCCTGGGTGGGCTCGTGTTCGCTTGCCCTTATTACGCAACACTTTGCGACACCCGCAAGGAGGCGGCGTACGCGAGAGCAGCGTTTTCGTTCGCGTACACCGAAGCGGATCCGATGTGTCTTGCTGGGCGCACGCTGTACCGCAAAGCCGCGCACGGCACCTGCGAGACCGGGTATCCCCCCTAAGCGCCCCTTTAAGCCCCCTTAAGCCCTACCTGAACCCTTAAGAACCTCAGTTTTCAGGGCTCCTGATTTTGATCTCCTTACCCAGGCTTAAAAAGATCCTAAACCCTAAATCCTAAACCCTGAACCCTACAGTAAACCTTAAGCCCTGAAAGCCGAAATCCTAACCCCAAACCCTAAACCCTAAACCCCAAATCCTAAAGATCCTTTATTTGGGGCGAAGGTAAACCCTAGGGTCCCTCCATGAAAAGGACCCTCTGTCAAAATGGCCCTAAACCCTCAACCCTGAAACCCTAAACCCTAAAACCCTACACCGTAAACCCTGAAGCCCTATACCCTCGGAAACCCCGAACCCTAAACCCTCAACCCTAAACCCTAAGCCCTCAAAACCCTCGGAAACTCTAAACCCTAAAACCCTCGGCGACCCTAAACCCTAGCTTATTCGGCCCAAGGGCTTCGAACCGAATATTCCAAACTCCTACATGCTACAGCCCTCCTGTTGATCATATAAATCCTGGATTACCTTAAGGACCCATGGTTTAGGGGTTTAGGGTTTAGGGTTCGGGGCTGATCATATGAATCCTGGATTACCTTCAGGACCCAGGGTTTAGGGGTTTAGGGTTTACGGTGTAGGGCTGATGATATAAATTTTGCAATACCTTAAGGACCCTAAACTCTTGGAATGATGGTCTATTCCTTATTCTGGGCAATGCAAGATGCATATCATCGGCCGTACCTCTCCGATTACATACAACTCCGAAGGTTTAGGGTTCAGTGTTACACACCAGTGGTAAACGGGGTGCTACCTACTTTTGTTAGGGCTTGGGGCTGCCGGCTGCAGGTCCAGGTATATGAATCTTAAACGCCATGAACCCTATAAGCCCCCCTGGAATCGTTGCGCGGAGGTCAACGCAAGCAGCTAAGGAGCGTGAAACATTGAGGACCGCCCTACACCCTAAACCCTAAACCCAAAGCCGAGATGTTGGTTTGGGCCAACCTGAACCCTAGAATCCTGCCTCGTTGGAGCTCCTTATCATGATTTTTAGGGTTTAGGGTTTAGGGTATACATATATATATATATATATACACATACACACATGGTCATATGCATATGTGTACATACATGCATGCATATCTTTCTGCGAAAGGTTGGGCTACAGGTAGGGGTTCGGGTGCAGATTCTGATGTTGTGGCTTTTTCGGCTTAGAGTCCGGGGTGACTCTACAAGGCTTTAATGAGCAGCCTATCGTTGCTGGCCCAAGGAGTATATACCCAGAGACGCCAATACCCTTGAAAAAGGGAATATACCTTAAACTATAGTATACTAAGGATCCCTCATATGATTTAAGGTATATTCTGCAATTAAGGGGTATTGGAGTCTCTGTATACTATGTTGACACTTAGGTCGTGGGTACTTGGCTCTTGCTCGAAAGAGCCGCAAACTCCGCAAACTTTGCACCTTAAACTTCAAGCCCTACAGCCCTGAACCCTACACCCCACAGTTTTCAGTGGCCCTAAACCCTAAACCCTAAACCCTAAACCCTAAAGGTTTGAAGTTGCCCTTACGCACCCAGAGAGGGACCCATAACCCTAGACCCTAAGCGTTTGGCCTTAACTTTCCTAAACCCTACACCCGAACCCGATTTTAAGACAAAGGCGAACCCTAGTATAGAAGCCGAAATAATTACATATATTATTGTTAGGGCTCCGTATTATAATGATAGTAACCTTAAACCCTAATATAGAAGCCTAAATAAATACCTATATGATTGTTAGGGCTCCTTATTATAATTATAGTATTCCTAAACCCTAATATAGAACCCTAAATTACATATATTATTGCTAGGCCTCCTTATTGTAATTATAGTATTCCTAAACCTTAAACCCTAAAGGCTTTCCTTGGGCTTCTTAGTACGAGGACCCCTTGAAGGCCTTGGAAGCCGAAAACCCTGAACCCTAAACTGACGGAGCTCTACACAGTAGTAGGTCATGACACAGTTCGGGGCTTAAGGTTTAGGGAACGAGCCCGTACTTAGGGAGCCGACTTCAAGTTTCATGCGACTTAGTAACTAGGGTCTTAAATCAGGAGATTCTGCTGCTCATGAACTAGAACCTCAGCAGATGTACTTATAACTGTACCTACAAAGTCCGATGAACCTCCCCTAAACCCTACACCCTAAATCCCTTAAAGTAAGAGGTGCTTGAACCCAGAGGTGCGTGAGGTGCCCGATCGAAACTCAACCCGACACTTGCTATGCGGTGGATGATATAAATGTATAAATCCTATTTTCCCCATAATAAGGAACAGACCATAACTCCCAAAGGTTTAGGGTCCTTATCACCCTAAACCTTAAATCCTAAACCCTAGACCCTAAACCCTAAACCCTAAATCCTAAACCCTAAACTCTAAACCCTAAACCCTAAACCCTAAACCCTTTAGAGGAGTCCTCGAGGGACCCGGAGCCCGATGCCTCGGAAGGACGTTTACCGACGATCAGCTCGCGGTGAGGAGGCTCGGCACCGGGTTAGGTATTAGGGTTCAGGGTTTAGGGTTTAGGGGTTTGGGGTTAGGGGTTAGGGCTTAGGGCTTAGGGTTTAGGGTTTAGGGTTTAGGGTTTAGGGGTTTAGGGTTTAGGGTTTAGGGTACCCTACACCACTACCAGCACCCTCGTAGATAGCCCTTGTGGTGGGAAAGGCGAGATGGTAGTTTGGGGGGTCTACGTAGGTTCTAGACTTCGAGGTTTAGCATTCCCTAGGGGTCCATGTGCCCAAGTAGTATATACTTGGGGCCCCAAGTACCTATATGGGGACTACTTTAAGGCCAAGGTTTAAATAATTTGTTTTTTTTGGGGGCTGCGGTTCAGTGCTTTGGGCTGAGGATTGCAGGATGGAGTCGGTTTAGGGGTTCCTTTAAGGGGTCGTTAAGGGGTTCCTTTAAGGGTCTATAAGGGATTCTAGGGTTCCTTTAAGGGATCTACTCTAAACCCTAAACCCTAAACCCTGTAAGGGAACTATATTATAGGGCTTGGGTTTTAGGGCTTTTCGGGCTTCCTAGGGGTTTAGGAGTTTTAGGGTATTGGGGCTTTAGGGCTTTTGGGGGTTTAGGGTTTAGGACTTTTAAGGCTTTTAGGGCTTTTAGGGTTTTTAGGGCTTTAGGGTTTTTGGGTTTAGGGCTTGTAGGGTTTTAAGGGCTTTTGGGGTTTTGGGCTGTAGGGCTTTTAGGGTTTTGTGGTTTGAGGTTTTAGGGCTTTTAGTGTTTAGGGTTGAGGGTTAATCGCTACAGGGTTTGCTTTCGGTGCTAAACCCTAAACCCTAATCCCTANNCTAATCCCTAATCCCTAAACCCTTTTCTGAAAGAAGAGATTGCAGGAGCTGCACCGGGGGTTGTAAGGCTTTCTTTCCCTGAGGGTCCAAGTACTTAATTATCAAATACTTTCCCAAACCCTAAGGGTCCATGTAC